ATTGGTCTGTGTAAGAAACTGAACATTATTTACAACATTATTACCTGTAATCCACAGCCTCAGGCAAACAGTATGCAATGATGTCTGCTTCGTGAACAAATCATAATGATATAATTATCTTAATGATATTGTTTATGGCTACTGTGACGTGTGGGGCGGGGCCGAGAGCCGTGGGAACGGAGCGAGGCCGGTGGAGTAAGTGATAATGCACCACATCCCCTGCACAAACAAAACCAAAACAACATAAATCCAGGCCTGGTCCTCTCTCCTCTTGCACTGTCGTCACTCCTCCTTTTATCCTTCCGGAGCTCCTCTGTTGGACTCGATTATTACTTTTGTAATGCGTTACTCCCAACACTGGTCATGGGTGTGTTTTGGACTTAATGTGCAATAAAACCAATCAGAGTCTCATCTTCCATTCCCTTTAAAAGCCAGTTGCACTTGCGCCATGGCAGATTCGCTATTTACATGCTCGAGTGTGAGCGCGATAATCTTTTACATTGTAAACCTTTCATTTTTAATATTTAGCATGTTTGTGTGCTGCTGTGCGTCCCTGTGTGTGTAATAAGCAGAGTGTACACGCGCTGTGCACTCGCCTATAGGTGCATATTACTAACACGCCCTTCAAATAAATAAAAAAATACTGCACCATTGACTTTAGATCAGGTTTTAGTTGATCAATGGCACAATCGTTTTCAGTTGCCTCAAAATAGCAACCAACAATGTGCCTGAACACACCTTCTTTTCAGACTAGCATGCCAGTGGGCGAACAGATGGGCACAAGTGCATTTGCTATTTAAACAACGTGGTGCTGGACATGAAAATGATAACTATGTTTGGCTGAAACTAGCAAAAAACACTTGCGTCGCGCCTGGCATCGCATTGCACTGGGTGTATGATAGGTCCCTCTGTGTTTGGTAAGAGTTAAAAAAGGGTGTCTAACATCTTTGTGTTTAGTGTAAGAAATGGCACCCACTAAAAATTACAAGCAATGTGCTTTGCTGTGCTCTCATTTCTTTACAAGGAATGATTATCATGATTTGTGTGTCATCTGCTTGGGAGTGGAGCACACTAGTATCATTGTGAAAGTGGTCCCTTTTTGCAAGCAATGGGAGTTTGAGACAGGCTCTGCCCTTTCTTTTGCCTTGTTGCCAGACTCTGAGGACCTCTTTCTAGATTCGGAAGCTTGCTTAGTGATTTCTTCTGATCCAGATGATGACCTATTGTGGGCTGCCTCTGGCTTTAAGAAGCTGGGTGGCAGCCCCTGATAAATGCTGCAGTCTTGTGCCTTTGAAGAGCGGCTTGAGGTGGTTACTATGGTGGTAGACAAATAGAATGGCCAGATGCGAAAAATAGTAGTCAGGAAAAAGTTAGATTTCCAGGTCACAGACTTAGTCCTCTGTGCCACTACGCAAATAGCCTGTTTGATCAGCCAGTTGAGAAAAAAAAACTTATCGTTGATAGATTTCAGATGGCCAAGAAACAATCAGCTGCATTCAAACAATTCCCTCCCTCCCTCACTGCAGCCAAGAGCTGTAGGCCCAGGAGCTGGAAGCTTCCACGAGCCAGCCCCGGTCAAGCCCTGCCTCCTCTTGGGGTGGAGGAAAGAGCAATAGGCTAGTGTGGCTGCCTGAGCCCAGGTTCGCTTTTGGGGGCAAAGCTTACCAGTAACCAGTTCTTCCCTTTGGGCTTGCCCCACCACCCCGCATGTTCACAAAGTTCATAGATGCTGCCCTGGATCCTTTGCAACTCCATGCTGTTTATGTACTCAATTACATCAACGGCTGGCTCATATTGGCCAGGTTGAGGGCATTCGTGTTTTGACATTGAGATGTCATCCTCACTTTCTTGAGACATCTGGGGTTGAGACTGACCATCAAAAAGAGTATCCTCTCTCCAAGCCAGAGGATGACTTTATGGGGGTAGTATGGGGCTCGTATTCCATGCATGCATGATTGTCCCCTTCTCAAATCAAGTCCTCCCTAATGTTGAAGAACTTCAGGCTGCATTGAGAAATTTTTGTCCACCAATACCAGAGGTTACTGGATCTTATGGCAGCCACCACCAACATGATACTTTTGGTGATACCATTAGATTATTTCAGTTGTGGCTCAAAAGCATGGGGTTCCACCCATTGTGCAACCCCCTGAGGAGGATAGGGTTAATGTGCAGAGGGCTTTGTTCCCTTTGTATTTGGAAGAATTCTGGTTTCTCACCTTGACTCCCACACTGGGGGCAAGCTGTTCCTGCAAGATGGTGACTACAGATGCCTCCCTTATGCTTTAGGGGCAATCCTGGATGGTTGCCGAGCCCAGGGGGCCTGGGAAGGCTGACATCTCCTTTGGCATATAAATTGCCTGGGGAGGAAGACTTTATTTCTGGCTCTCAGGTACTTTCTCCTGGACCTGAGGGGCTACCATGCATTGGTGCAGACAGAAAACATGATGGCAGTCTCATATATAAATTATCAGGGCGGTCTGCGTTCACACCCTGTGTTCAGGTTAGTGCATCAGATCCTCGTTTGGGTTTAAGGCAGACTGCTCTCCCTGAGGGGAGTCTATATTTCAGGGAAATCAGATCTAGGGGCAGACATCCTGTCAATGCAGGGGCTGAGGCCCAGGGAATGGAAACTCCACCCTGAGGTGCCCTTACACTTCTAGCTGCATTAGGGCTGCAGGCAAAATGCAGGCATGGCCAAGGCAACATCTGTACACTTTCCCCTGATTACTCTGCTCCAAGGAGTTCAAGCTAAATTTCATCAGGACGGAGTTTGCATATTGCCAGTTGCTCCATTCTGACCAGCCAGAGTATGGTTCTCAGGCCTAATATCTCTCCTAGTAAGCTCTCCTTGGGAGATTCAAACCAGGAGGGACATTCTCTCCCAATTTTTCACCCATCGCCCAAGATGTGGAAGCTATGGGTCTGGTCCCTGAGGGGTACCAACTCCAATTCCGGTCTCTCAACCATGGCTGTTGTGACTAATCTGAATGCTAGAGCTCCATCCATTAGGGAACTTATTCCCTGAAGTGGCATGTCTTTAGAGCAGGGGTGTCAAACTCATTTTCACTGAGGGCCACTTCAACATTATGGCTGCCATCAAAGGGCCAATTGTAACTGTAAGAATGTACAAATGTTACTACTCCTTAACATATTGTTAAATAACTCTCTATATTTTATTATTACTTATTTAAGTTACAAATATTGCATTGTAACGAATCAGCTCATGGGAAATATGAATAATTAATCATAACTAGTTATAATTAATTATGAATATTTTAGATCCGCTGTAGATATTTAATTTGCATATATGTAAAAATATATGTTGTTGCTCTGTGTTATTTTAACACAGGTCAAGAAATCCAAATTACTCCATAAATCAAAGTAAATAAAGACAAGTAGCTAATTGATGTACCTTGACCTGACTGATCCAGATTTACTAAACCACTGACTACTGTGTAATCTAAAACACCTTCAGCCAGCAACCAGTATAAAACACTCGTGCTTTTAAGCCAAATAGCTTGCTGATTTTAATTTTTTTTACTGACATCTGTACGTGAGTGTTTGAATGCATTTGCTTACTGGGTCCTTAGACTTTCCAGGAGTTTCCCAGTTGATCTGATCGCAAAAAAACCTACTTCTGTTTATATTCATAATGTATTGTTGACACGTGTGAAACAGATACATTTAGACTACTACTGTTATTGTCACGGTCCGGATGTGTGGAGGCAGGCAGGACGACACGGATGACAAGGATTCCAATAATGACTTTTAATGTAGACACAACAAGGCAGGTACAGGTAGGTGAAACACACGAGGCCAGCAGCAGGCGGGCATGCGTCGGCGGCGGCCGGCGATCTCGACTTCCGAGATCGATACCTCCAATCGGCCGGCGCTCTACGGACCAGAACCAGCTGCCTTATCCAACACAGCTCGTTAGCCATCATCCTTGTCTTCGGTGGTGGTCGGTTATTCTGTCACGGACCGGGTGTGTGGAGGCAGGCAGGACGACGCGGATGACAAGGATTCCAGTAATGACTTTTAATGTAGACACAACAAGGCAGGTACAGGTTGGTGAAACACACACACACGTATGTTTCTGCCAGTGGATGCCCACACACCAGGTTGCGTTTATTAAACTCAGGAGAGAAGATAATTTTTGAGTGCACGCATATAATGTCTGATCGATAGAAAGCGTGTCCGTTTTCTGTGCGAGTGAATGAATGGGAATCCACCTGCAAGCAGAGAGATTTGCGCTCGCGCATTTAATGCGCTCTCGCATAGGCAATATGCACTCTGGACATTTGTCATTAAAATAACTCAATAGAAATTGCCTCAAACAAACTTTAAAAAACGAGAAGAAAGTTGTGTCTGAAAGTGTAGTGTCGTCTGCCGCTGATCTGAGGAATCACGCTCAGTCTTGGGGTTTTGTTTCCAGAAGTTAGACTTTATTTCAAGAAGTATAAAGCCGAGAAGTTCTCTGCAGAGAAATCTCCAGAATGTTTTTCTGCCTCTCTTTTTATACAGTTTTGACTTTAAGGTGTGGGGTATACATGTCATAGCGTTTTCCTTATACATACAATTCGATTCCTTCCTAGAGAGAAGGGGCCCCAATGTCCTGTTATGGTAAAGAAAAAAACCCCACTGGTATTTTTCCAGATGTTTAAGCTGCAATCGATTTTTTAATTCGTTAAATTAATGGAGAATATTGTGTTTTTCCATTTCCGTCGGTGGGGCTCTCGCACTTATTCCTTTGAGCCGTCCACGCAGTCGTCATCAATGGAAAAACCCCACACCCCTAATCCTAACCATTGCATATCATATGCACACCAAAGTCAATTTATGCGTATAAATAGAACGCCAAATAGAAACAGAAACTTGTGGTATTGATACACACTTTCATGATTTATGATATAAAGCTGCATAGATTTTTATTTTAAGACAATCATATGCTCTCACATAAAATGATGTGGCGGGCCGGAATAGGCCCGTGGGCCTTGAGTTTGACACATGTGCTTTAGAGCCTTGGTGGGATCCCCTTGTATGTCCCTTTTTCTCCACGATGCCATCTGCAGGTGGCCAATTACTTACTGGGATCTTTCTGTAGTCCTGGAAGGTTTATCAGGGGCTTTGGGGCCTTCGAAGTCAGCTTCAGAGAAGTTTCTGACCATCAAAATGGCTCTGTTATTGATATTAAGCTATCACTATTTCATAACAATGGTTGAAGACCCACACATGCAACTTTCATCCCTCTCTCTCTCTCTCTCTCTCGATAATTAATTAAAATAAATGTTATAATTATGTGGCCTATGGGTTGTAAGGAAGCAGCACTGGATACAAAAAAATATATTTTAGGGCCTTTACTCTGACGGCTGTCTCTCAGAAGGACAGCGATCGATGGGAGTAAGCACTGATGGAAACAATGAATAAAATAGAGTAATTCTTATGTCTCTATTGTGATTATCTGACAAAAAACAAAGAAAAACACAGGAGATCCACCAGTGACTTAAAAAATCCAAGAAATTCAGTCCAGGAATATTCACAACCTTCAAGAACAGTACATTAGCCTACCATTAAACGCCACCGTTTTCATGAAAATACGTTGAGTACAAACAAACAAAAAAACAATCTTTTAATGCATTCTAATAATTTTATCAAGGTATGAAATGTTTTAAGAACACACATAACTGTTTTTAACAGGCATATTCCAATGTAAACAGATTCACCTATAACCAAGGAAGTACACTGGGCTTTAAATAAAGAAAATTAAACTTCATTAACATTCATTGTACATACCCAGTCCTTGCACGTGTCCAAAACGTGATCAAACCCGATCCACCTCACACATGCAATCCAAAAACGTCCTTAAAGATGATTAACGAAACATTCCTTATTAACATACTATGCTCATGTACACATTTTATGCAATTTGTTCACAACTTCTATAAGAATGTACATTTACCTTGCTAAATAGCCCAAAAACCCAGAGCACTAGTTTGCATTCGTTGCTCTCCTCACACAATCAGTGCACATGTGTTACATGCGGGAGCGCCGCAAAGCAAGTGTCGCAACACCATTTCTTAAAGGACCCACAACCAATTTATGCTTAGCGTTGGGTTTGTTAATTTTTTCCACTTGGCTACAATTAATTTATTCAAATAGATGTGATCTTATCTCAATGCTTGGCAAATGACCATGGTATAAGTGGGGAAATCCTAGCTGTGCATTGCTCTGCTGCGTGTTGGGTGGCTCTTTGCACAGCTAGCCATTGATTATCCATTACATGTCATGATGGTAAACCTTTAAATGTGCTGATCTTTTTCTGTTCTTTTCTGTTTGTTTTTTTTGCTGTCCCTACAGTGCTTGTGGAGATGATCTGACCTGCACTTCCTCCTACTGTCAGATCCACATCAGGCAGCACAACAAAGAAGCAGCTCTGCAGACACACTCACTGCTGGAGGATTCTCACCAACCAACAGATGATGTCCTGCACAGAGTAATAGACACTCACAAAACCTGCATGAAGAGCAAGTATGAGAGCTTATTTGAGGGAATCAAACTTCAAAATAATCAAACCCTGCTGAACAGGATCTACACACATCTCTACATCATAGAGGGAGAGAGTAAAGGGGTGAATAAAGAACATGAAGTTGTACAGATGGAGAAAACACCCAGAACACATCATTCACAACACACTCCAATCTACTGCAATGACATCTTTAAAGCCTTATCTGAACCTGGATGTGAGGAGAAAGACCAAATCAAGGCTGTTCTTACTAAAGGCATCGCTGGAATTGGAAAAACTGTTTCTGTGCAGAAATTCATTCTGGATTGGGCCGAGGGAAAAGCCAATCAGGATGTAGATTTCATGTTTGTGCTTCCATTTCGAGAGCTAAACTTAATTAAAGATCATCAGTACAGTCTTCACAGACTTCTGCTGGACTTTTATTCTGAACTTCAAGATCTGGACTCTAAGATTTATGATGAATGCAAAGTTGTCTTCATCTTTGATGGTCTGGACGAAAGCAGAATTACACTGTTTTCACACAGACAGAAAGTTTCTGATGTTACTGAGATTTCATCAGTGGGTGTGTTGATAACAAATCTCATAAAAGGATATATTCTTCCTTCCTCTCACATCTGGATCACCTCCAGACCAGCAGCAGCCAAACAGATCCCCTCCCAATACATCAACCGTCTGACAGAAATCCAGGGATTCAATGAGTCTCAGAAGGAGGAATATTTCAAAAAGAGAATCAGTGATGAACATCAAGCCAGCGGAATCATCTCACATATTAAAAGAGCAAGAAGCCTCTACATCATGTGCCACATCCCTGTCTTCTGCTGGATCTCAGCCACTGTGCTTCAAAACCACCTGAAATACAATGACAATGCAGAAATCCCCAAAACTCTGACTGAAATGTACATACATTTCTTGCTCATTCAGACAACTATAAAGAATCAGAAGTATGAAGAGAAGGATCCAGAGAAGCTCCTAAAGTCAAATCGAGAAATGATTGTGAAACTTGCTGAACTGGCATTCAAACAGCTGATGAAGGGCAATGTGATGTTCTATGAGGAGGACCTGATTGAGAGCGGCATAGATGTCACTGATGCCTCAGTATATTCTGGGATTTGCACTGAGATCTTTAAGGAGGAATCTGTGATTCATCAGAGAAAAGTCTATAGCTTCGTACATCTGAGCTTTCAGGAGTTTCTTGCTGCTTTCTATGTGTTTCATTCATATATCGCTAAGAACATGCAAGCACTGAAACCTCTGTTTTTAATGGTTGAGTGGTTCAGGTTTAGGAAGATCTCGCTTTGTGAGCTACTAGAATCAGTAGTTGACAAAACCCTGTTGAGTAAAACTGGACACCTGGATCTCTTTCTGCGGTTCCTGCTGGGCGTCTCACTGGAGTCCAATCAGAGACTCCTACAGGGTCTTCTGACACATACAGAGAACAGTTCAGAGAGCATCAGGAACACCACTCAGTACATTAAATACACAATCAGAGCTGATGATGATTTCTCAGCTGACAGATCCATCAATCTGCTCCTCTGTCTGCTGGAAGTGAATGATCTGACTCTTTACAAAGAGATTCAGGACTTTGTGAAATCAGACAAACACTCAGAGGATAAACTCTCTGCTGCTCACTGCTCAGCAATAGCCTACATGCTCCAGATGTCAGAGGAGGTGCTGGATGAGCTTGACCTCAAGAAATACAACACGTCCGATGAGGGTAGGAGGAGACTGTTACCAGCTGTGAACAACTGCAGAAAAGCTCTGTGAGTATTAATTTACATGATTGCATAATTTACAGTAATGTAAATACTTTACACTGCCTTTTTTACTTTAAAAGTAATTTGAATACAAATTCTGAGGCTGTATTAAAGACAGATAATTATTTTAAATATCATAACGACTAAAGAAATCATCAATTACATACTCTTATGTCATTCCAATTGTCCAGTTCCAATTCCATATGTCTTATTCTGTGGAACACTAAAGGAGGTAGTTTTATGAATATCTGGTTGGGTGAATTCAATACACTGATTCACTTTAACACTAAGTGAAAATAGCATATTTTCTTAATGCTTAATGCTATTTACACTAAGTGCATATAGCAATTCTATTTACACTATGTAAAAATAGCAGTATTTTCTGCTATGTATACTAATTATTGCAAATAGTGGCAAATATCTGCACCGCAGTATTGTACCACATTATAAAACAGTATACAGTAATAATGTATTGAGTGTAAATGATTATTTTTAAGAGAATTATTAATTATTAAAACATTGACTATTGATTGAGTTATTCATTCATATGCATAAAAGGAGGACAAATAAACATCTGGATCAAGGCTGCACCAGTAGATGGACATGGTATTTCAAAACTGGACAGTCCAGTTTTGTCTTTTACATTTCGCTGAAATAGGGGTTTTCCTGACCTTTTAAATGACCTTTGGTCAAACATATTCCAAAAGTATTATTTCACTTTTACCATAGGCATAATAAGGAGTGAATTTTAACAGGGAGTTCTAAGTCTTAAAGGGGTCATATGAAGCTATTTCAAGTTTTCCTTTCTCTTCGGAGTGTTACAAGCTGTTCGTGCATAGATAAGATCCCTAAAGTTGCAAAGACTAAAGTCTCAAACCCAAAGAGATATTCTTTATAAAAGTTAAGACTTGTCCATGCCCGTGCCGTTCTCAAGCCTGCCGACCTCCACTCACTCAAGCCCACCGTGTGTGACGCTGTGTCCTTCCAAAAGAGGACACAACTAGAAATCAGTGGTTAAGTTGTATTTACAACACTGTTCCAGAACAGTTCAACCCAAATATTCAGATATGTTTACGCGGCGCGATACGCAACGCAACGTGTAAAAAGAGAGTATAATTCATTATAATCAGTAATTATGTCCACACTGGATGCAACAAATGCCTCGTTTGTAATGGGTTTTATTGGTTTTGTCTCGTCGCTCCGGCCGGGACACTGCATCACAATATGGTAACTGTGTTACTGTGTATCGCCTGTGTTAGGGGCGTAACATTTCCGTCACACGCTTGAGGTATTCAGCCAATCACAACGCACTGGATAGCTGTGCAACAGCACACAAAGTCCATAAACATGTTTTTCAATACACCATTTATCCCTTAAAAAGTAAACAAAAATACTAACATAGCCTACTTAAAAATATAATTATAATTTTTTTACTATTTATTTACTTACTACTTTACTTAGAACCATGGTGAAAAGCGAGTTTAGTGGGTTATGATTCATAAATCATATTATATCACTTCTCTCCGGTTGAGCTCCGGTACACCGGTGAGGGGACAAGAGGCCACTTTTTCATTCATTCTCACTCCCAGGTGTTAATATACAGATATCAAATTAACCCTTTAGCGTCTTTATTGCGACGCCAATGATAAACTTTTCCCGCCAAAACGTCAACAATAATGTACAGTATGTGGAAAATAATGTGTTTTTTTAACCTTAAACCGCATAAACACATTGCATTACACCAAATACACAAAATAATGTTCTTTTTAGCAACGTCATATGACCCCTTTAAACCAGACCAACCAGCTCTAAGATTAATCACATTTGTTTTGAAGCAGCAAATAATATTTACTAAAAGACTTTTATGAGAGAATTAATAATTTCCATCAAAGCATTGTACAATTTTAGAATTAAATCAACAATGACTAAATAACTGTTAACTGTTGACACTGATCATCAGTGAACTGCAAAACATACACGAACAGTCATCTACATAATGTTAATAATTGTAACAAAATATAAAGTATCATACAAAAATGCAGGTTGTTTTGTTTACTACCCTGAATATTTCTCATAAATTAAATTAAATTGTAAAAAAATCCACCAACAAATTCTATGGTTTTACAGCATTTTCTGCATTTTAACCCTTTTTTAACAGTGACAGTATGATTTTTTGATTCATATTTTCACACTGAGGACAGATGAGGGGTTCATACAACTATTTCAAAAGCTGCAAACATTCTTAAATATAATGATCATATACAGTATGATCCGTGTATGGCCGCATACAGATTTCCTAAAATAATTTGCAGATTTCCTCTCAGACCTATTGGTTACTGTTGATAAAGCGCTAATTGTCGGAGATTTTAACATTCACGTTGATAATACAAATGATGCATTAGGACTTGCGTTTACTGACCTAATAAACTCTTTTGGATCTCAATTTATCTCATAAATACACATGAACTAGACGACATGACTAGCAACATGGACACTATCTTCTCTAATACATTAGAAGCTGTTGCCCCCATCAAATTGTAAAAGGTTAGAGAAAAACGTAATACCCATTCTCTCAAGAAAGAAACTCGTAGTCTTGAGCGCAAATGGAGAAAAACTAACCACAACTAGATCCTAGTGAACTGGCAAATTACAGACACATTTAAAATCTTCCTTTTATGTCAAAAATTTTAGAAAAAGTTGTTTCTGCTCAATTGTGCTCCTTCCTGCAAAAAAAGATCTCTATGAAGAATTTCAGTCAGGTTTCAGGCCCCACCATAGCACCAGGTGCTCTGGGAAAACAGAGAACTCAACTCTCATGTGAGAGGAAAACTCCGAATTCAGAAAGGTGTAGCATGCTCAAAGGCAACCCTTTGATAAAGGGGAGCACTGCTAAACACTACCACGAGAACAGCCCACGGGGCGAGGAATCCAACTCCTCAGAAGGGAGAGAATTCAAACGCTCAAAAGAAAGCACCATGCTCACAATAACCCTCAATGGTGAGGGGAGCGATGCTTCAAAAGTGTGTCAACAGAGACACACTGGTTGAGTGGAACCCAAGGTACCAGGGTCTAAACCAACTCAGAGAAAGGGAACGAGGCTAATAACGCATAACCATTACCATACAGGATTTCAGAAAAGTGTGCAAAGTATAATGTGCACACTTACCACTATGTGGATTTTAGAAAGTGCGCAAAGTGTTTGTATATATATTTAGAAATGGATCGTACTCACCCACCATGGTTCATGCGCCGGTTCAAGAAGCGACCCGAAGAAGCCTCTAGTCCGGACCATCAGTAAGGTGGTCACTAT